CCCCCTCTCCCCCTCTCCCTCTCCTCTCCTCCAGGAACATGTAGGGACCAGAGGGAGTTAGTGACTGCCATGAACATGTCTCCTATTGCTACAGCATCTGCTAAGTTCAAATCCCTCCTCGTGGTGTCCACTGGACAGGGACAAGCCCCACTCCTGGGCTCTGGGCACCGTCAGTCTCCTGCCAACCCTCCCACCAACTGACGGCGCTGGCGAGGCACTGACACCTCAGGCAGAACACGGTGGGGTGGGAATGATTCAGAAGCGCAATGGGGCCCTGTGCAGCCCTCCCCGGCGCGGGCGAGGGGCGGCAAGGGGGGCAGGAACCGAGCGGGAGCATTTCCACGGATCGGGCTGGGAGAGGGGAGCAGCGGCACAGGCACCGGTGGTGTGGCTGGAGCGGGGGGAGGTGGGTGAACAGGGATGCTGTGCAGCGGTAGGAAGTTCGTGTAAAAATAAGAGCTGTTAAAAGAAAACGAAAGCTGAAGTGAGGCTTTTCCCACTGAATTCGGGGCCAGATTTCCAGATGTTCAGTCCCACACGTGGAGCCAGCTTTTCAAAACCGCTAGCACGCTACCTGCTGAGCTGCTCGTGACTCCAGCCCTCCAGCGATGCCTGAAGGAGAGGCATCTAAATGCCTCCGCACACTGGTCTGAGCAGCCGAGAGCTGAACATGCACTTTGTCACGGTACCGTATCTACAAGGCCACCCCCTTCCACCCAGCGGGAAGCAGGGATGCCGTCTCCCCACGGCGTGCTCCCACCGCTCCGGCCCCTGTGCCCCCTGACTCCGGCTTTGCCGCGTCCCAGCTCGAGCATCGGGACCCTCACACCTGCAGGGCTGCAGTCGGTGCCCTTGAAGACACACATCTCCTCCTCCTCCAGCCCCGCGTGCCTCGTGCAGACGTTTGCACGAGGGCTCAGGGAGGATGGAGTTTTTTTCATGCCTTTAACATCCTCTCATTTGACCTTCCTCTGGAAAGAGGCCTGGGGAGAGATTTTCAAGGTATTTCCGTGTCTAAAGACACAGACAGGCAATAAAGGCCTTTCAGAAGCAGAGAGACTCTATCTTTAGGCACCTAAACACGTCACGGATCCATCCTGCAGTGCACCAGCAGCATGCAACACACCGTCTGCCGGTGTCACCCTGCGCAGAGCGCGTTGAGCAGCCAACACGCTGCAAAGGAGCCCCAGGCAAGCGTGCTTGGATCGGCAGCAGCGCACAGAGCACAGCTTTGGATCGCGGGGATGACAGAGAAGTGTTGCAAAAGGGTTCACGTAAGGCACCCAGGCATGAGAGCAGAAAGCGGGGGTTGGCATGTGCTGCTGATGTTCTGCCTTGCGTATGCCAGGTATGCTGCTGGAGGGGTGCTCGAGCCCTGGAAGAAGAATTTCCCTGGCAAGCCGATTGGGAACATTTAAATGGGGCGGTTGTGTAACGATCAGTACCTTAGCCCAGGGCTTTGGAAATTTGGCTTCAAATCCTCGTGCTTCCACGGGTCAAGTATGACCCTGGGAAAGGCTCCACTGCCCCCGGGTAGAGCCGGGGCTGTGCTGCGAGGGCGGGCGCGCTCCAGACACCGCTCCAGAGGTCAGCGCCTCTCTACTCACTGATGGTAATAGCTTGGATCGGGCGTTTTCTGAGGGCTACAAGTCTCACTCCTAATGAGAAACATTTCCTCCAAACCCAGGGAAACAAACGTGAGGTTGAGTTAAAGGCTGTTCTCCCTGTTTTCTTTTGGATCCCGCTGAGCTAGCTGGACACGAGACGTTTCAAAAGTGATCAGAGTGGGGCCACCTAAGCACGTAAGTCAGGCAGAGAGCCCGGGAACGCAGTCTGTTCTCCTGCTCCTTTAGAAGAAGCCCTGATGTCAGGAGACAGTATGCCGATCCCGCTGGGGATGGTGGGGGCTGTCACCGATGCCCGGTCCCAGCCCTCCGCAGAAGCACAGGGCCTCATCCTGCCCGCTGGGGCTGGCGTGTGGCCGGGCTCTCTGCCCTGGACTCTCACTCTGCCTCTTGCGAATGGGTTTCACCAGCTCCGAGCTGCGCTGGCTCCACCGCACGACCAGCACCTTTTGCCTCACCTATTGCCTCTGGATCTTGTTTCTTGGTGGCAACAGCATCACCCTGTGAAGCAGGTTGGACCGCATCCTTCACCGGCTTGCACCTGAGCGGCTGGAAAGTCGGATCGATATCCAGGATCAGCTGGTTGAGAGTCTCTATCGATATGTCCAAGGTAGGAGACACCAGGTGAGCCTCAGGATCCGTGCTGGTCTCCTCCTCCTCCTCCTTCGGCTGATACGGGGCAGTGGGTCTCTCCAAAGAGGTATCCCGCTGCCCCTTCCCCTGGGCCTGGGCAGCCACATGCTCAAACGGGGGGTGGGCTGCGTACAGCGCTCCGCCGGGAAGCCGTCGTGCGTTGGCGTGCACCATCGCGGACGGGGCAGCCCAGCCCTCCCCGGAGCAGTAGACGTACTTCATTGGCAGCACGGAGCAGCCCGGGTACCCTCTCGGGTGCAAGCTCTTGCTTTCCTCCCGTGAGGAAACACACACGGTCTGTCCAACACGCAACACGTGGCTTTGTATGACCTGTGACATGGTTTGGTTTGCTGGTTTGGCAGCTTCGAGTCCAAGGGAAACCTCCTCCTCCTCCTCCTCGCCTCCCCTTCTCCACCAGGGACCTCAGACCCCTTCTTCAATCCTGCGTCTCCAGCGGAAGAAGAATCTAAGGAATGCAGAGAGAGGAGCGGTTACACAGGCATGCCCAGGGCAGGAGCAGACTTCAGCGGAAAAGTCTATAAAAACGGGGATTTGGAGTGCAAAGCTGGAATTCAGCTCATAAGAAAACAAGTCACCCTGTACTGCTTTTCCACCCCCCTCCAGCCTCTGCTCCCGGTGCCACAGCGCATCTGGGCAAGTGCAAGGAGGATTAATTTACAACAGCTTTTCAGGATTCAAAGGCCTAAACCCGACACTCTGCTTTATTTGCACAGTGCTTATATTTTGGTTAAGAATGAAACGAAGGATCAGTCTGACAACTTCTGCGTGGGCTCCTGACCCTCGGAAGCCATCCCGAGAGGCGACGGCAGACAGCGCGCCCGGAGCCGCGCAGGGCAGACCTGCAGTGGGCCAGAGAGATGGAGCAGGCTGCCAGAGCAATGTTCTGCGAGCGGGTGTACATCTAATCTGAGGGTTTATTTTGATGGTAGAATGTGAGCTGAGCCCTGGAAGCCCGTCTGTGCGGCTGCTTTCTCAGTCAGGGCGCTGCTCTAGGAATCTGATTGCTATTAAATGTTGAATACTCTCTGGCTTCGCTTTAGATAGAAAGTATTTTTTAATTTGCCGTTAAAAAAACCCAACACAGCAGAAGGTAGGCTTGCCTCGGGGGTTCTGGGCAAAAAGGTCTCAGGACACTGTTTGCAGGTGGGGAAGTCATCCAACTGCATCAGCAAACAAGCAGGGTCCCTCGCGCTGCCACCAAATGCACTGGGGAATCTCACTCGTTTGTCTGAGGATGAGAAAATAATAAACCTGTCCCTCTCCGCACCCACCGCAGCGGCCAAATCCCAACGTCTCGGGGCTTGGGCACACCGAGGCCAAGCACATTCCCCATGCCCGTACCGCGCAGGCTGCATGGGAACGTGCCCGTCCTCTCTGGTCCTCGGGCAAGGCAGCACCGGTGGGGACCACGGGATGTGCGGGAGCCGGGGGCAGAGGGTTCCCGAGAAGAGTTAATGCTCCAGGCAAGGGCTCCCTCCTCCCTGTCCTGTGTGATCTGGTGTGTAATAGGCAAACACTGCGCTACGCTTATTAGAACATTTGTCCTTTCCTGCATCGGTCTTGAATGACTGACTTATTTACTCGCCTATCTCGGACTGATTAACTATGGAGTCACAGGATTAAGAAAGAGCCGTGTTGCTCGCGGGCAGTCTGTCCGCACCTCCCCGTGGGCGAGGGCAGGAGCGCTGGGCTGGCACAGCACGTCATGTCTGGTGAAGCGGTGACTAACTGCCATGCCGGGTGTTGAGCTGTTACCGAGATGGCTCAAAACAATCCAGCATTGCCCTCCGTGAATTATACAACCCTGAAGAAGTCTCTTCCCTTGCTGGAGAAAGTGACACCCAGAATAGCACAGAGTCATGAAGATTGGATGCAAAACATTGCTGCTGCCTGCTGCTGCTCACAGCGTACAGCACTCGGGGTGGCTACGGATCGTGAGTCACACCAGTTAATCATAGAACCATAGAATGGATTAGGTTGGAAAGGACCTTGAAGATCAAGTTCCATCAAGTTCCAGCCCCCCTGCCATAGACAGGGACACTTCCCACTAGACCAGGTTGCCCAAGGCCACGTCCAGCCTGGCCTTGAACACCTCCAGGGATGGGTGAACACCTCCAGGGATGGGTGTTAATGCTCTCAAAAGAGATAGGAAAGGTTTTTAAGGACTGTAGAAGTGAATAAATACTTCAAAACCCATTCAGCCTCCTCCCATCCTGGACCCTGCTGTGTCTCCTGAGCCTCTGACAGACTTTATTTGCAGGACTGGCAGGCTGGTCCGTAGGAAAGGCTCGGGAGCAAGGACGTGTCCTGCACCAAGACCTGTGCACAGAAAGGAACGCGGCTCTGGGAGGCAGCTATTGTGCCTTTAGCTGCAAATCAGACCAGTACACAGCATCCCTGAGCTGTCACTAACCATTGGTCCTAGAGATGGGACAGAGCAGGTCCAGCATCACTCCAGGCGCACGGGGCTGAGCTCTGCAAGGTGGGTCTGTTCCAGCCCCAGTGGGAGATGGACAGGGTCCGGAGCAGGTTATCCTATGTTGGGGGTCCCAACATAGACAAAGATGTGGACCTGGTGGAGCGGGGCCAGAGGAGGGCCATAAAAATGCTGGGAGGGCTGGAGCCCCTCTCCCACGAGGAAAGGCTGAGAGAGTTGGGGGGGTTCAGCCTGGAGAAGAGAAGGCCAAAAAGGGGAGACCTCAGAGCCCCTTCCAGTGCCTAAAGGGGCTCCGGGAGAGCTGGGGAGGGACTCTGGATCAGGGAGGGGAGCGATGGGATGAGGGGGAACAGTTTGACACTGACAGAGGGGAGACTGAGGTGAGATGTGAGGAAGAAATTCTCTCCTGTGGGGGTGGTGATCCCCTGGGGCAGGTTGCCCCGAGAAGCTGTGGCTGCCCCATCCCTGGAGGTGTTCAAGGCCAGGTTGGACGGGGCTTGGAGCAACCTGGGCTGGTGGGAGGTGGCCCTGCCCAGGGCAGGGGGGTGGAATGAGGTGATCTTCAAGGTCCCTTCCAACCTAAACTATTCTATGATCCCTACAGGGAGTCGGTTGTGGAGGGTGGGAAGAGCTGGACCTCAGGGTGGGTTGTCCACAGGCTCGGGGGGTGGGTGGGTGAGAGGCAGAGGCTGAGCGTGTCGGGGTCCCTCCTGCGAGCCCTTCCCAGCCCACCGTGCCACGGCCTGCACCCGTGCGTTGCTTTTCCTTGGCATTTCTGGACCCAAACCCCAAGGTGCGGAGGACGCAGACGCGGGCTGGGAACCGAGTTCCCCTTTCCCCCTGCCAGCCGGGCTGCCCGTGCCGGGGCTCTGCCTCGCGCTGCCTCCGGGCTGGTCCCCGCGTGGCTCCGCCGGGGGTCAGTCGGATCACAGGCGAGCCGTCTGCCCTCTTCTGCCTTCCTGCCTTGGAGCACGTATGTGCCATGACGCCGCAGGCACTGCCGTGAGAAGTGCAGCACGGTACAAGGCTTGGAGGGAGCGTTTGTTAAATATAAAAAGAAGAGTCATTCCAGGTCAAAACCACGAGCTAGATGGAGTGAAAATTGGATTCTCCCCTGGGGAGAAGAACTGCCTGGCTCCAGTCAGTGTCCGCAAGACAAGGCTGGTTTTAATTTAAGTAGGTACAGAAATAACGTGCAGTATGCATGAACCAGGACTGTCAGGGGGTTCCAGGAGCATGCACGCAACAGCTTCCCTCCTCTCTTGTACTCCTGCCCTCAGTTTTTGATCTTTCTCGTGCCTGATGCTGCCAGAATTAGCCTCCAAACCTCATTTCTCCTCCCTTCCCTTCTCTGGGTTAAAGCGAGAGGTCTCCCAGGCCCCTCACAAGAATTTCGAGCCCAGCTGCGGGCTCTGCTCGGGGGGGCAAAGGAGGAGAAGGGTTCGGGCGAAGGGGGTCCGTCACAAGGCGGCTGTTCACCACCAGCGTGGTACAGCCACGAGAAAGACAAACGCTGCCCAGAGACATCAGGACTTTCCGAGAGCGATCAGAAATATCACTGTCCTCCCGCGCAGTCCAGCTGTGCCCCTGGGGCAGGGAAGAGGGGCCGGGATGGAGCGCCGCGACCACGAGGGCAGGCAGGGAGCCCGTATCGCACCGCGAAGCCGATGGCACATCGGTGCCGTGCCACGAGGTGCGATGCGCTGTGCTCCGGCAGCTCTGCACCAGAAGCTTCGCAGCGCTGGCAGAGGTGACGCAGGCGCTGCAGCCGTGCCCTGCAGGGCTTGGCCGGCGGGCTTCACCGGGGCTGGGAGGGTTTCCTGGCGGCGCAGAAACACCGGGGGAAGGAGCTCTGCTGGTTAAGCTGAGACAAGGCTAGCACAAGAAGAAATGGAAAGAAGTTGGCCACAAACACATCCAGACTGGAAATTACAGAGTTTCTGCTCTGGCTGTGGAACAGAATTCCCCCTAAGAGGAAGGAGGCAAGTCACAGGTTTTGGATGCATACGGACACGCTTATAGAGGCTGTTGGTGAGGCAGCTGCCTGTTCCCCCAAGAGACCCATCTCGGTGAGGCAGGAGTTGCAGTTGAGCCCAGTAACCCCAGTCCTCTGTTCCACCTCCATCCCAGCTTGGCAGGAGTCCCGTGACACGGAAAGGAGCGGGGCTCGGGGTGCGGGGACAGGGACCAGAGCCGGGGCACCCACGTGGGGCTGCGGGGAGGGTGCTGTGTTCGGAGGGCTGCAGGGCTCCTCCTGGGCGGCAGCGGGAGACACCGGGTGCCCTTGGGCCAGGGCTGCGCCAGGCACACCCCGGCGGGGCGATAACTGCCTGCGCGCCCTTCCTGCAGCCGCCGGGCACAGCACAGCCCAGCACAA